GTGGGCGGCAGCGGTGCACGCTCCGTCGCCGTGCTGAAGAGCGCGGTCTCGCCCCGCGCCGCCACCGCCGCCTCGGCTTCGTCCGGGGCGTCGAAGCCGCAGTCGCCGCGTGCTGGAGGCGTTCTTCCCCGGACCGGAGGCACGCTGCCGGCGCCTGCGGCGACGCCGACGCCGGCTAGCTCCGACGCCGGGGCGTCTTCTTCTGCTGCTGCCAAGATTGTGGCCACGGGGGTGAAGCCGGGGCTGGTGAAACAGTCCTCGTACCTTCTCAGGAACGCCTCCGCCTCGAGCAGCAGCAACGGCGGGAGGAGCGGGTCGGGCTCCGGGCCCTCGTCCAACGCCAGCGCCGCGGCCACGACGATCAAGCCCGGCCTCGTGAAGCAGTCCTCGTACCTCCTGCGCACGGGGAACAGCGCCGCAACCCCCGCCGTGAGCAACGGCAACGGCGTGTCCACCGCCGCCGCCACCGCTTCTCCGAAGCCAGCCTCCGCCGCCACCGCCGCCGCTCCGTCGCGCTTCCAGCGCACGGTCCCGGCTTCCGCCGCCGCCGCCGCCACCCCGGCGGCGAACTCGGCCACAGCCGGCAGCGCGGCCGCGGTGATCGGGGCCTCGAGGGGCCCCAAGGCCTCGGCCCTCGCGGCCGCTTTCGAGAACAAGGCCAGGGGAGGAACGACGACAGCGGCGAAGCCGACCCCGGTGGCGAAGCCAGTGGCGAAGCCGGTGGCGAAGCCAGTGGCGAAGCCGGTGGCGAAGCCGGTGGCGAAGCCAGCACCGGTGATGGCGCAGGGGGGAGGAGCGGCGGCTGCGGCGGCGGCGACGCAGCAGCCGCAGTCGCCCAAGAAGCAGGCGCAGGCACGACCAACGTCTCCTTCCAAGGTTACCCCGGAGAGCCTTCTGGGGAAGGGCACCGTCATGCAGCGGAAAAAGGTGTGTGCTTCTCTTCCCTGCTGCGGGGTGGTGGGTATGTTGGTTTCGTTGCGGGGAAATATGATTTTGGTGCATGGATTGATTTTTTTGTTTGTTAACCTCGTCAACCTGATCTCCCTCTCATCACGTGTCTGGCTAGCTGGCCAGTCACACTTCTCCTTTTCTCGAAGCCACGGAAGAAAACTTACTTCTTTTTTTTTTGCTGGATCGGTGGACGGGTCGTCAGGTTTACGTGGCGGCGGCCCAAAAGTCAGGAAACGGATCCCCGGCGCCCCTCATCGGGAAGACCAAGAAGGAAAAGGTGGGGTGGTTCCGTAGAAGTTAGTCACAACAAAATACAGCATCCCGCAGAGGCTACTACAACACCCTTACGAGATAGTTTCTCAAAGAGAGGATGTGTTGGGAGTCGTTAGCAATGAGGATTTACAGACACCTGCTCAATGCTGGTCTTTCTTGTGAGACTGTTTTTCGCGCTTGCCCTGAGAAACCAGTCATGCCATGTAGCTGGAACGAAAAACGCTCCGTTGCGGGGTAGATTGAGAGAGATCAGTCGTATAATAATGCAATGAACCAACCGGCATTCCGCGGCAACCACTGGGTGTACAACTAGGTCTCTTCCCAAGGAAAGTAGCAACACAACTGACGTGTGAACGGGTGGATAGAATAAGGCACGGCGTTTGTTTTGTTGTTGTGTGTGCTGTGTTATTCGGACGACCTACGGCGGTAGTGCGAGTTCCGGTAGAGCCCGTAGACCAACCGACAGCCGCGAGAGAGAAAGTCGTAGTCGTGGTGTGCTCGCTCGCGCCCGGCCCGTTTCACGAAGTCTCGCCGCATTTTTCGCAATCGCGCCGCGCTGCGCCGTACCGCACCGCACCGCAGGACGGGAGCTTCATGGACAAGTTCGTGTCGATGTTCACTATTTCCCCGCAGTCCTCGCCGTCACCATCCCCGCCGAGGTGTGAGCGATGAAAAAAAAAAAGAAATCGCCCAGTCTCGTGTCAATCGGAATCACGTTGGGTTTTTTGCGTCCGCGTTGCCCGTCGAAAATCAGATTTGCAGAGTGGAGAGATGTCAATAGTGCCACTGTTGACATCGTGGCGTAGATGAAATATGTTCAAGTTGTCTCGTTCTGTAAATGTTGCCGGGGGCCCCGTATATTTGTAGTGCTGGTGAGCTTGGCGGGCACATACCGGCCCCACGGAGGGACCGCCACTGGATATGTATCGGTCGCCATGGGAACATGAAGCATTTGTTGGGCATCAAAACCTGTAGGGTCAGAATCCAAACCCCTTCAATTGTGTGCAAAGTTTTCCAATCGAACACATAGCGTCGGCAGGCGTACCCATTCCCAATGCTCGAAGAAGGTCGACAATTAAAATATGAGCCAGGTTTAGGTCAACAAACGAATCGAAAATTTCTTTTGGCTAAGACCTGATTGGCTGTTGAATAGCAGCCTGTGCCAGTTGCATCCATTGCTTCGCCGGCCTAGCGTTTCGTTTCGTTTGATTGTATTGTCCAGCTCTTGGTTTTGTGCAGGACGTACGTGAGCCTCGAAAGCCTCCGCACCCGTATTGCTCGCGGTCGCCGCCGTTTCAGGACGCGTCCGTTGTGCTTGTTGGAGCCGAGTTGAATTGGAGTCATCATCGTCGCCAGCACTACTGGTAGATCCCCCCATGGGCATATCCGAAAGTTCTGCGGTAGCATCCCACAGACACATGGCAGTGAACATGCTCCCTTTCCCCTAGCTAACGAAGTTCTCACCATACACCACAAGAAATGAATCTGGAAGAGAAGAAGTCAACCTCAAATCGTCCCTCTGGTCGTCTTTCCCCCGTGTGGTGATCGGGGCTCCGTTCCCTGGATACGTTCGTCTAGGTCGGAGTCTAGATCCCCGCTCAAGTCCCGGCAGCGAAGCCCCATGGCGGCCAAGGTCGCCAACGGCTCTTCGGCAGCCGCCGCCAGCGGCGCTCCCCCGGCACGGGCTGAGACGGGACGCTTGGGATTCTTCAGCTCTAACAAGTCGTTCAAGGGGCTGGTGAGCTCGGGGGACAACGAGAACGAGAAGGAGTAGGGCGCCAAAATTCGAGGGGGGGGGAGGGGGGAGGTGCCGCGGGGCCCCCATCAGGAGGTGATGGGAAAAAATTCTGTCGTCGGGGGGCGGTGATATGCTGCAGACAAGCGGTGTTTTTCTTGGAAAGATGTGCTGTGACTTCCTCGTGCTTGATCTTTTTTTTGCTTGTTCCCTCCGCCGCGCAAACCATGGAATATGGTTTTTATGGCTTGGCGAACATTATGCGGACCAGTCTAGACCGGCCAATCATTGGTCCTCTCTCTTTTAGTACAGGTCGAAGGGGTGTAAACCAAGAGGTGTGCACGTGAGCGTGTAGTGCAGGGGCTTTGAGGAGGAATTGCCATCTATACGGAAAGTGTAATCGAAAATCTATTGGGGGAATTTGATTTGAATAATCGAATGGCTGCTTTTGAAAC